GTTAAGTTGGAAACGAAATTAATATCAATGAATGGCGTAACACAGTTAGTGGGAAATATGTTGGGAACAAATTTTGGAGGAACTTACATAATAATTGTTACAGAAATATCGTCTATAGATTTGAATTCCTTAAAAGGAATCTTGGACGAGCTTGTCTACAACGGCACTCAAATTGCGAATTCTGTTGCGACTAAAAGTGCATTTACAGAATTGAGAAGAGTACTTTGTGATGTCTCAATTGAGGTAATGAACCCATTACTAGGCTTATTTTTCTGCGATCTCTAGACAAATATGGCTAACAACGAGCTAAGAACAAGTTTTGTTATCTATTTCTACGATAGATAGGTTCATCCTTGATATTCTTGGCACTGTACAGAATAAAACATTTATTTAGATATAATTGATGATAATTGATAAGTCATTTATCTGGCTTGTTTGCAAGGAAGAAAAAAATACTAAAGATGTGATAAGTGTATAGAAATAGACGTGTAAAATACAATAAAATTGGAACGTCACCTAAGACTCAATGTACAAATTATGCTACTCTAAGATACACATAATTATGTGGAACTATATTATTAATCTATACTTTGTCGCTGTCCAAATCAGAATCAATAACTTCTTCTTGTTCCTGAACGAAGAGGTAAATATTTGGTACTCAGGGTTGTTTTTTTTTCATCCATGTTATTTCTTTTTTAGGGTCTTTTAATACAGGCAGGCATAGCCGGTCCATGTGCCGGCCTTTTTCTCACTTTAATGTTACTTGCAACTTGTCATGTGAGGTACGTAAGATGAAAGATGAAATTATACCTATAGGTAATATCTTTTTAAAATGTCTCAAACTAGTGGTGTCCTGATACTCTTTGAGTACCTGAACACGGAATTCCCTCCATGGCAACCAGAACATCTAAATTAATTCTACCGGAAATTGTACCTCTTCCTTCAGCGCCCACCGTGCAAACCGTTGTGATCGTCTAAAATAATCTCGATTACGGATTAAGTATTAAATGAATGAAAATAAGGAGTGAAGAAACGTAACCCCCGCATGCACGCACGCACGCATACACACACTGTGACTGTACGTTGCATGTAATAGTTTGGCATGGTAACCGTTCGGCCACAGAGGCAGTTGAAATGTGGTTAATAGTTAGTGTATTTTTTATCCAAATTTTAATTTCTTTCACAATCTATCGATAACATTGACGACAACAACTACATGAATATTTAAGATTCACGAAAACTGGCAACCCTGCAAATGTCATCTTACTGCAACCCTGCAAATGTCATTTTACTCCGTCTTCAAAAAAGACAGATTATAAATAATTTCGATTTTTATTCCAGAATATGGCAGAAAGCGTTATTGTGCATATTTTTGTAAGTATCCGTAATGTCACTAATTTTACATCTTGCCAACCCATTATACGTTAAATTTTTCCCTCACTTGAATATTTTCCTTATTACTAACATTATTTAGTACTATTTTAAATAGGTAGTGTGAAATATTGTCTGTTAACTGAAAATATTAACATATATGTGGAATCATTTTCAAAAAGTTCATTATAATTTTACAATACATAAAATACTTCATTACAGTTTGTTTACATAAAGTTAAGTATCTAAGTTTTTGTAGTATAAACATTCACAAATATACGTAAGTGTAAATTGGTAACCAATTTTTGTCGAGTATTACTTCGGAATAAATATTTTCATTTTGAAAATAGACCTATCAATTTTTTTTCGAAAATGGAGTCTTTGAATGATGCCTAGCGGCTGGAAAAAATTTGGACGATGACTAAAAAATCATCCTGTATATTTATACTACAAGCGTTCATGTCTATAACTACCTTACCTATGTTAAATTGCGTTTTCAAAATAAGGCACAACAATTCTAATTTGCTCCTTTTTACCTTACTGCAGATTGTGTCAACGTCTGTTTCTTTTATTTTATTTGAAGATTAATTTTTGTCGGGATGATTCTTAGTTGTGGTTGATGAATGCTCGGTTATCTAAACATTATTAGCTGTTTTTAACCGACTTCAAAAAAAGGAGGAGGTTCCAATTCATCTGTATGTTTTTTTTTTGTATTTTTGTTACGCGATAACTCCGCCATTTGTGAACCGATATTGATGATTTTTTTTTTGTTGGAAAGAGGGTTACATTTAAATTTGAAGAAAATATTCCACATCTAAGGGTGGTAAACTAGGGGATGAATGACTTTTGAGGTCGGTTTTAACCTGAGATTAGGTTAGGTTATCTCAATTAGTATATACATCTCGATTATAAAATGAATATTTATTGTACTTGCACTTGTCCGATCTACATGAAGTATGTTATGTAAATCAGATAACTTTACAATAATATTGTAAACTTGATTTGACGATGCAACCAGTTCATATACAGCCAACTCCGCAACTCCTTTCGACAAGACTTTCTTGAGATAATTTACTTGAGTTTTTGTTTATTTTTTATAGAACGGAAGGAGAAAAGTGTTTTAGTAAAAGCTATAATTGCCAGCACAAACCTTGTAAAATGTTATTGCATTTGAGAAATATCACAGGTAAAGGTTCAGAAGTGACTATTTCACTTTCGGATGTTAAATATGATAAGAAAGAAAAAACTCGAGTTGGAATAGCAACGACAACACCGACGGCAACAACACCAACGGCAATAGCAACAACGACAGCAACTGTGACAACAACATCTGAAGAAGATTCGGCTTCAGATATAACTAGCCCAGCCAGTAGTAGTAAGTAGCGACAGTCGTTCAACGATAAAATAAACGTCCACGACACAGTCACGACAGATCTTCGTGATATAGGAACAGGCTAGACGCGACATAATGGGAACGCGCCCTAAGGGTGCTAGTGAAATTACAAGCACATGGGACTTGTCACCTAATGTTTCAGGGTGACCGGAGCAGTGGCAATCAATACTTTGTTATAAATGCAAATATGGAATTACTTACTTAAATTACTACATGAATTGCTCATTGACATATATAAGAAATTCGTTGTCTATGAAACCCGATCTGCAGCTAAGTTAGTAAAGCAATGGGAACCGAATCCCGTGGTCGCAGGTTCAAGTCGTGTCAGGTCGAAGGGTTTTTTCTTTGTGTTCGATCTTTGTATTTAATAATTATTATAACTACGTTGTAAGAATTGTTATTTTTTTATGACAAACAAATATTGTAAATTTGTTTTAAATTGTATAGTAATTCTTTTTTTGTAATTTGTTTTAAAGCAAATAAAGTGAAACTGTATTAAAAAATATAGTGGTCTGTTGGGAAAGTATTTAATATTTTTTCAGTCGAATCTAATCGCGCGATTGGTTGCGGTAAATCTTACGGAAATTGGGCAAGTGAAACTGATATCATATTCAAAGTATACACATTGAAGGTTATCAGTTTCCACTACCAACAGACCGCGCGATCAGAGTATACATTCCCGAACAGTTGGGAGTTCCCTACCTGACTTATTATACTTACGATACAGAGAACCCTAGTTTAAGTTCAGATAAAGGTGTCGTTGCCCTACATATTATTATCATTATTACAATATTGATATAGTGCGATGATTGACAGAACTAAAAATAACAAGTGCGCCGGCACTGAGTATCCATATAAAGAATTTGCAAATGCAGTGCTCCAAGTTTTAATGGTAGTAGTAAAACAATTGTAAAAAGCGTCGTGGGTTTTGGAAAGAAATAAATAGAATGTTACGCGAATAAATATAGGGCCTCTTAGTTCTCACAGGAGCGCTATCAAATCTGGGAAACTTTTATTAATACAATAAAAATTTGAATCATTGTCATCTAAATTTATTGTTTTATTTTGATTTACAAAACAAAGTTCTTATTGAAAAACCCTTTATTAACGTGAGTACCAAAGTTTTGTAAAGATGTATCTAAATTGTTTTATCCAGAACAACAAGTTATAGAGATAAGAAAATTACGTTTACAGTATGCTGAAGAATAATTATGGAGGTATTCTGGACCTAGTGCACTTAAACATGCCGCCCTGCAGCATGCCCCGGTCCGACAGATAAAAAAAAAATCTTAGTCTTACTGACTGGAATTTTTGCAAAGCAGATTTTACGGGACTGTACCGCGATATTTCCAACTTAGAATGGGAAACCGTAAACGTACTCGGTAAACATAAAGGTGATGCTTTTTATGACGTTTTTAAACGAGGGAAACAAAATTGACATCACATATTTTAATTTTATAAACACAAAAAAAATCACAAGCCCAACGTATGTTTTACAAAAGATTAAATCATTTTTAATATGCACGTTGGACTATAACTAATTCCATAAAGTAATTGAAGATTATCGGATCTAAGTAACGTATATTTTTCTCTTCAAATCCAAAACCAACGTTTCGGGCTTTTGCACGTCTCATGGTCCCGGATGGTTGAGTTGGTACTACTAATTAATGTTTTATTTTTAATTTCCTTTTAATAAATAAATTCTTCTAGCATACCAAAAAATAATTGAATATCAATTCAATAAAAATTTAAATACAATGAATAGCGACATCTCTAGCCTGGGTTGGTAGCTGTAAAGGTATCTAACCGGGTGACGAAACACTTAAGATTTCTCATAGATGGCGCTACGAAATACAAAGACACGATAACAAACACACAGAAAAATTCGTGAGTTCAGCGGACCTCACGAATTTTTTTCACGAACCAGAGGGTTCGTTCCGTTGCTTAGTTAGCATAACGTCTGCCACGAGAGTGTTCGATCTTTGTATTAATAATTATAACAAACTAGTGGAGTAATTTCACAGAAAAAAGTGAATATCAATTCAATAAATTTAAAAAAATCATACTGCTGTTAAAATAAAATATTATCCAAATCTTAGAAATATTCTTTGGTAAATAAATAATGTTAGCCATAACTGGTTGATGTTATTACCATCTTGTCAGCCGTGACCATGGTATTTCTTAAGAGTCCGGAATCTTTCTTTATTTGGTCTTGTTTCTTGATATTTCAAAAAACAAAATTATTCCCAATAAATAAAGACGTTAAGTTAATGTTCACGTGGAGCCCATTCGCGCTTGTCCATTTTCTTTAAAGATTTCATGAATTTTTGTTTATTCATTCTTTTTTTAGTATCTTAGTAATAATTTTCTAAACATATAGGAAGTTCAAGTCTAGTTTTATGTAATTATTAATGGTTTCTTTTTTGCAAAATTTGGATTGATATTGTAAAGTCTTTTCATATACTTTCTTCTTGATGTGCGTTTCGCTTTTAGTAATTTAAAAAGCAAGCAGCAGGCTCTAATTTTGTTTCTTTTCATTAAATGCTTAAGCGTTGCTATTGTCAAGTTTTTATACTGTTCAGCATTCTTGCTTAGCTCGTCAGCATCTGATTCTACTTCTGTTGCGGTATCCATAGCAAGGAAAGATTTATCGAATAGTTTACATGAACGTCGTTTACATATGCTATCCATTGCCGGATCTTCACAATTTTTTAAATCATGTCTGAGAAAAATAAAAGAAAAAATAAGTTAAAGGTTTTAACTATACAATATTTTTACTTTTAAATTTTCACATTGCATTGTACTAACATTTCGAAACGGGAATAAATGCAATTAATAAGTGTAACCTTACAACGCACAACAACTTACAACTTAAACTTAACTTAAACTTAAACTAGGTAGGTGTGAAAAATACCTACTCGTATGTAAACGCGTTTGTTCCCGTATTCAATGTTTTGTTTAAGTTTTGTAAGAATGGACAAGTTAAAAATTATGTAATTCAAAGATTATAGACAATCTACTACGACACTACTACTACTACGACATCTGTATAGTTTAAACTGTCCTTGATGATTCTGTTTGTAATAGGTCATAATGTAAACATCGATATTTGTTTACTGTTTAACTAATTAAGTTAATTTCGCGTTAGTCTATTTGAGAAACGCTCGCACTCAACAATTCTTTATGGGGTTGATGGGGCTTTATAATCCACAGGTCGACGGTTCCAGTCCCAGTGGTGGTGTGTACCTATGGCATTAATTTCTAAGTGGCCGTTCGGCCGCCGATGCGGCCATTCGGTCGTGTTGAATGAATTATTTTGAAAAAAGGGTATAGTGAAATTGAGAATATACACTGATTACTATACGGTGTGAAAATATGATTCCTTAAAATTTTCACGATAGAAAAAAAAACACAAACTTACCTCGAAATTTTACAAGAAAACCGGTGTATTCAATAGGTACTTTACATATATACTAATGATATTTTTTATATCAACTGATCTAAATAGAACATGACGTGTACTATATGATAATATTTTTTTAAATGACACTAATTTAGTACGTAAAAAAAAATTCTGAAATAAAGCCATTGTTCCTGCAGCTCGAGCCAAGCAAAATCAACCATAAAATAAATAAACCACAAAGTTTTAATTCAAGCTGAGATAGTATCGACTCTTAATACAATAACTTTTATCGCATAAATGTGGTGACTCCCTAAAACGTCGATAACGACTAGTGTTATTACGGTTATTATAATGTCGCACTTGACAATTAACATAGTATTGTCTCAGAAATTGCGTTATATTATATTTTACCTCAAAATTGCGTTATATTAATAATTTATCTGCAAAATTTCGCTATAATGACGTGTCATTCATATACGTGACAGTAAGTGACAGACCAACACTGTCGCTTTGAAACTAAATAGTAATATTAATATAACTTAAACCCGTTTTGAGATAATACTATGTTAGTTGTCATGTGCGATGTGTACTTACAAGTGTATGCATAATAATGCTTTTTGCCATGCTCTGTAAAGGAAAACGAGAAAATATTGAGGGTAGGGAGAGAAAATATCACAAGCTAGAAACATGATTTATAGAATTTTATTTCTCCGAAAACCTTTAGATTTTTATTGAATAGTTTTTGTTTCATTTGTCGGAAAACACGTTACGGTTTTTTTTATTATTACCCCATTTAATATTTCACTTTTTTATTTTGACATATTAACAAGTTATTCTTTTTCCGATTTTTATTTCCCCAACAAACCGTTTGATCAATATATCTAATTGAATATTTTTATTTTGTAAAAAAATATCCATGATACATTTTTGTTATATTATTTCTTATTATATATATTAAAATTATTAGAACGTGTCGTACAATACAACTCGTCAAATTAAAGCACTAAACACCCTTATAACTTTTGAACGCCGGACCGACTAAATCTAGTTTTTTAAGACTAGAACCGACTAAATAGCGAGTTTTTTTCTGGCTAGTCAAATTTAAAAAACTCGATCATGCGCTGGGATAAGCCATGCCCATCTCTGTATTTGGTGTAATATGGAGGTAAAGCCGCGGACAGGCATAGAGCAATAGCACTTTTGAAATGTGAGTTGGCTGGCGTCCTGTTAAGAATACCGCAGACAGCCCATCAGATCAATATCTCTGCTGCTGTGCTAGGGAACTTAAGTTAGAGAATGCACGCAGTCTGTCTTCAACCTGAATGCAGCGTGTGATACGCTACTTTGGTAACGTTGTACGTAGAGATGCTGATAATCTGCAGCGACTGATGGTAACATGGAAGGTGGAGGAAAGGAGACCTAGAGACAGGAATCCCAAACGTTGGTTCGATCAAATCTCCGAACAATTGGAACTATCTACTACGCCGTACTCAAGGAAACAGATGATTAGTAAGATGAAATGAAGTCATGGTCCTCAGTAGTGAGAAAACGATTGAGAAGAAGGAACTGATGTAGATTTAGAGGATTTAGCAAATTTGGCCCAGATACAAATGGAGCACGTCTTCGTTTAGGAAATAAACAGTCTTTGAAACGTCTGATGAGATGGATTAAGTGGCAATGTAACAATGGTTGTCATCGACACGTATATGAAAAACATGCGTAATAAATAAGACAGTATTGAAATTCTGATGATGAAGGTGGTAGAAGCCATAACAGTTGCAGTGCCACTAAGAGCTTTTAACCGCAAAGATCTGAGAGCACTGCCACTGCACCCGTCACTTGGGACATAAAGTTGACAAGTCCCATGTGTTTATAGTTTCATCAGCACTCTTATCCTTCAAAACAAGAACTCACTTATGCTCATACTAGGGCTTGGCGACAGAAATTAATATAGTGGCAGCGCTTCTCTGGACGAAATCTTCACAAGCAGCTCAAACTCGCATAATATCAAACTCTTTTATAATACTTTCAAGAAATTTTAAGGATAATTGAAAATTTGATCTTACCTTAAGCGACACAGTGCAACTAACATTATAGTGAGACAAAATCCACAGACGGGACCCGTTAATAAAGCTTCCATTAGAAAACCCTGAAAAATTAAGCGCAGTTAAAGGCGTAAATAATCGAATAATTACGAGTATACCACTCGTTTGCAAAAAACATGCATTTTCAACGATATATTTCTTTTTTCCTTGTCTGAAATGATTACAATTCGACAAAAGTTTTATTCATTTAAATATACTCTGGCTTGATAGTTAAGTGTCATCATTTATAAATACATTCATCTCAAATTCAAATTTAAGACATCAAAATCGTTCTTATTACAAGAAATTACTCTTCACTGCTTAAAACGGTGGGAATTGTTGAAATTTTATATGAACGTTACACCACTTTTAGATAAATAGCTGTAACGTCCGCTGTCGACAACGACGAATTAGATAAGAATAATATGTAAATGGGCTGATCTGGCCAATCAGCCCGTTTGCACGGACTTGATCCGGTTCTCAGAAGGCTAGTGCCTTGGGTGAGCTGCCCCGGGTGCACGTACAGCACCCTCCTATTTTCCAGATACTGCGGTGCCACTTTGCCAGAAAACTCGGCATTTCTCTACGTGATCGAATCAGAAATGAGGAGATCTATAGAAGAACGGAAGTCATCGACATAGCTCGAAGGATTAGCAAGTTGAAGTGGCAGTGGGCAGGGCACATAGCTCGTAGAACTAACGACCTTTGGGGCAGAAAGGTTCTTGAATGAAGATCACGAACCGGAAGGCGTTCAGTGCAATGGCCCCCTACTAGATGGACGGATAACCTGGTATAGGCGGCGGATAACCGATGGATGCACGTCGCGTCCGATCGGCTGGTCTGGAAATCTTTGGGGGACGCCTAGATTCAGCAGTGGACGTCTTCCGGCTGATATGATGATGATGATGACTTTGCCAGATATGTTACTGCGCCCGTCAGCCTTAAGTTGACAAGTCCCATGTACCTGTAGTTTCACCAGCATCCCTATCTTTCACTGCTTGACGGCAGAAATAGGTAAGGTGGCAGTACTTCCCTGGACGAACTCTTTCACAAGGAGCTCGTCTGCTACCGAAAGTTTGATATTACATTTTTTAAATTTTAAAAAATTTAGCGACAAGCCTCCCTAATGCAGCGGGTGCGCGCCAGCACCAACAGCCTCCTTACTACAGTAGCAAATAGAGTTGATGGTCCATACAATGAACGTCTCAACTCGTTGCATGTAGTGCCCTCTAAGTGGGCTGTAAAATAAAAGTAAATGTAAATGTGTAAGTAAATGAATGTAAATTACTAACATAGTTTATAAGTCTGTTACTAATTATATATGGACTCAGGTCCGAAATAAATGCTTATTATTATTATTATTATTATTATTATTATTATTATTATTATTATT